TATGTACAACACAGATGCTTGTTTCTCTGTCTGTTTAGGTTTCACCCCTCCAGCGAGTGGGACTACTCCTCCCCCTTCTGAAGGCAGCCAGGGGCTGGCCGTTTCCGGTGGTGACACAGGTGTGTCACATGCAGGCTGTCAGCTTAAGGAATCTGCTGACTCTGAAGCCAGGTGTGCGTCTGCAGGCCGTGTTGCTCTGGGTGAGGCCTGTCATGGAGCAGCTCTCGGTGCCCAGCTAGTTGAGCCCCAAGAGAATGTTCCAGATGCCAGGCCCGCCCTGGGGAACCCAGGAGTCCACAGCACCCTGTCACCAGTGGGAGAGGCTGCAGGTGCAGAGCCAGGGGATCCAGGTGCCAGGCCCATGGCCCCCCTGCCCGAGGAGCTCTTGCCCACAGATGTCATGCCAGTGGGCTGTGCTCGCAGGACTGGCCCAGACAGGTCACCGCTGACTACAGGACACCATGCCAGCAATCTGAAGCAGCTCCTCCAAGGGATGGAGGTGGATGTTGGCCATGGAGACCTGGAATGTGTGCCTGTGGGGGACACTGTGACTTTGGGAATTACAAGTGGGTACCCAGAGGTGTTACCTCAGGGCAAGGAGCAGATCTTCATTCAGACTGCCAGTGGAGTCCTCCCGTCCCACGCGAGGACCACCATGTCCCAGGGGGACGCTGTTCTGGTGACTGGCACAGAAGGCCCTGGCCTGCACGTTGGGGGCCTGGAAGGTGTCCCCCTGGGTTTGGGCACAGCTCTCACTGTACCGGCAGAGCCCTCGCAGTGATCAGAGGTGTGGCGTCTGTCTCTCCTGGAGTCTGGGGTGGGCAGGGGCATTTCTCCCATGTGAGCCCTGACACAGATGAGCCTCTGCTCGCCCCACTGTCCTTGGTGTGTATAGTACTAGGGATGCGAGCCAGGCCTCTGTGCACAGAAAATCTCCAGACCTTTTTATTTTTTAATTTGCTTTTTAAAAGTCTTCCTATGTACCCCAGGCTGGCCTGTTCTGGGCACAGGGCTGAGCTCACAGGAGGGAGAAAACAGGCTGGGGTGTACCCGTGGGCACAGGAAGTCCAGGGCAGCAAAGGAAGCCCTCCCCCCCAGCCCATCAGCACACAAATGCCCTGGGCATTTCCTCATCTGTAAAAGGACAAAGAGGGTGTGCCCCGTGTTCTCCTTAGTAGATGAATTAAGTCCAGTCTCTGTGGATGAGCTAGGGGTGGCAGTGTACATCTGGCCTCCCCACTATTCAGGAGGCTAAAGCAGAATTACATGTCCCTGGCCAGCTTGGGACTGATACACAGAGCAGAGCCTGTGGATGTAAGTGGGAGAGTCTGAGTTCAACCCTGTACCACTAAGGAGGTCTTGATAAACTTAGCTAAGTAGCATGTTCATGCAAGAACTCCCTCACCAGGGGCCGAGGCTGGTGCTCAGTGCGGAGCACTTGCTTAGCGTGCCTGAGGCCCTGCTTCTGCCCAGAGTCCCCCTACAAGTGTTATTCAGTGTTACAGAGTCCTATAGAATGTGAGCCGCAGGAACTCACGCTCCTCACTGGCCTCTCGCCCCCTCAGCCTGCACACCGTGGTGACTGCGGAAGTGGTTTGCATTTCCATGCTGCCAAACTGTACGGGACTTCACGTGTGATTTGTGATTACAGAACTGATATATTCTCATAAGGATTTATAGGGCTGGCCAAACAGCTCAGCAGATTAAAGTGCCTGCTTAGGCAGACTCAGGGATCAGGGTTTCACCCCCAGAGTGCCATGCCGGCCAAGCCCCCAGGGCACGCTGAGACAAGTGATTGAGATTGGGCGAAGGGGTGTACCCCTGTAATCCCAGTGCTTGGGAGGCTGAAAACAGGAGCATCATGGATCTGTGCTATGAGACCCTGTAGACCCTGTACTGAATACATAAAACAATAACAAAACCCAAAGATTTAAATATAGGTAGGGATACAGTGGAGCTGTGAAGGGATAGGTTTCCACACAAGGGTACATTTGGGGACAAGAGCGAGATTCTCCCATCATCCTGTCTGAGCAGTTTTTCCCAACAGGGGCTCTCAGCTGGCAGCTCCCAGCAGGCGTCATGGCCCAAGCAGAGGCTGTAGGGGATCAGGGTGCCGGAGGTGGTCTGTCCCAAGTCACAGTGCGTGGTGGCCCGTCTCCAACAGCATACTCTCCAGCAGCAGCCTGCTGTCCCGCTCCACGTAAGGCTGGTGCAGCCACATGGATAGGTAGCTGAGGATCAGGTCTTGGTCTGAGGTGTGGGCCAGCTCGGCACCCACCGTGCGCTTTAGGAGCAGCTCCCGGCTGTACATGTCAGAGAGCTTGTGTGAAACCTCATCTGAAACACACAGGGTGACAGGAGCATTGGAACTCACTACAAAGGGCAGGTGGGCCTTGAACTCCCTGCTAAGGAGTTTAGATTACAGGCACGTACCACCACGCCTGGCTCTAGCCCACACTGGCCTCCTGAGTGCTGGGATTATAGGCATGTGCCATCATGCCTGGCAGAAGTGTTTAAGCAGCCTCAATCCTTTCCCAAGTCCCCATCTAAATGATAGTAAATGCTCTTCTAACTTCCGTCCCTCAAACACCAGCTCTAAAGAGCTACTTACAAAAGTAGGCTGTGGGCCAGGTATGGAACAGGGGGGCCCGTCTGTTCTCCTCCCCATAGTGGTAATTTTCTAATTCACAGATTCCCTTGGTGGTTGAAGACAGCTTCTCCATTTTCACCTGTATTTTGGTCTGAAAAGATATTTATTTAAAGATATTAATTTAAATGGAAGAGTATTATTTGAAATTTCCAGTCTTAGATACTTCAGGATTTTAAAGCTAAGGAGTCTGTGTCTGCTGGGTTAAAACTGCAAAGCAGACCACCACTAGCTCTGCAAACAGCAAGTGTCTGGGCAAGGGGAGAAAGCTGGAAGGTGCGGGATTTCAGCCTTTGGACGGCTCCGGTCCTGAGCCCAGCTCCCGGTGCTGAGGAAGAGAGGGCCTGCCAAGCCCCATGTCCCGCTTCCAAGCTGCCTCACATTTTAGCTTCTAAAGCCTCTGCTCTGTGACCCCTAGAGTGGATGGGGAGGAAGCACCCAGGAGAGCAATCTGTGGGATGGCCACGCCTGGCGGCGCACGCTTGGGATCCCAGCACATTGGGAGGCTGAGGCAGGGCCATCACTGTAAGTTCAACGCCTCCCCGGCCTACATAGTGAGACCCTGTCCTTAACCCCCTGTCACCACCAAAAAAGGGAAAAAACAACAACACCTGGATTTGTGGGGTACAGAGCCCAAGACATGCTGAGGGAGGCAAGGGTTGCAATGGTCCGAATGCTCTAACAGTTAAGCAAGCCCAGGCTGGTCCCTGGCACGTGGTGACAGTACTACCAGGGTGGAGTCTCTAGGCCTTACCAGACCCTCTAAAGTGGCCTGCAGCTCCTCGCACAGCATCTCGAGCCTCTTGTCATAGTCCGGGTGCATCTTTTCGTCATCATCCTCGGACACTGAGCTGCTGCTCTCCGGTCCTGCCCTGTCTTTACTCCTGGACAATGCAGAGGACAGTAGGGACAGACTGTGCTGAGCTCTGTTCACGTACTTACAGTAAATCCTAGAAAACTCAGCTATACCACGCAAGCATGTGGGCTTCTGGCATGGACCCTGCTGTTGCATGCCGCCACAGCACAAGCTTAACATGTAATCCCAGCACTCGGAGGCTCAAAACAGGAGAACCACTACCAGTCAGATCCACACAGTGAGACCCTGTACTAAATTTAAAAATTAAAAAAAAAAAACAAGTCAGTAAATGTTTGAACACTCTGCTCTGTGACCCTGGGAGTGATGGTGGCCTGGACAATGCCCAGGGAAGAGGGAGGAAGCATCCAGGAGCACGATTTGTGGGGTCCACACCCCTGCGCGAGTGTCAAGCTTATACCAGAACAAGCAAGCTGAACGTAGTGACCCGGTACCCGCGGCACGCGGCTGGGGCCAGCTGTAGAGAGATGCGCATGATGCCGCTCAGCTCCTCAGGGTGTCCCCCGTGGAAAGCACTGAAGCCCAAAGCCATAACCCTTGCCAAGGCCTGGGGTTGGAACCTTTAAGAGACAGGGCCTAAGGTCCCAGTGTAGATGTGTGGCCCAGGGCTCTCCTTCCAGTAGTTCTGGCCAGGAGGTGACTGCAATGTGGTTGTGGACTAAAGCCCCTAAGAGCGGAGGCCACAACCCTTTCTTTTATAGTTGATCTGTGGCAGGTATGAGTAACAGTAACAGAATGCTAACAGGCCCTTCGCGTGAATTAATCCAGTGGGGTCACAATACATTAGAAAAATATTAAATATGAAAACAGCTGGTCGTGGTGGTACACACCTGTAATCCTAGCACCTGGGGGATGGAAGCAGGGGGCCTGCTGGGAGAGCCAGGCTAGACTGGGCTACAAAATGAGTTCAAAGCCAGCCTGAACTGCACAGCGGATCTTGTCTCAGAAAGACAGAAGAAACAACAAAAAGAATAGAACTGGGGATGGCGAGGGAGGCTGAGGCAAGATGACGGTTCACGTTTGAAGCCAACTTAAACCACATAGGGAGATCCCTGTGTACAAAGGGAGGGAGGGAAGAAGGGAAGGAGAGAAGGAGGGGGAAGAGGGGAACGGGGGAGACAGCGAGGAGAGAGGGAGAAGGAAAGCAAGAGAGATAGAGACAGAGAAAGAGAACAAAATAAAGAGAAATGTTTATAACCCCAGCACTTGAGAGGGTGACGCAGGAGGATCACCATAAGTTTGAGGCCCGGCTGGATTACCTGGTGAGTTCAAGGCTGGCCTGGACTATACAACAGGCCCTGTCTAAAGCAGAAACACCAAAAAAGAGGAAAATAGGAAATATCAGAAGACACTTCAGTACTAATGGCAGCAGCTGTTTCTGAGCTTGCTGAGCAGGATGCGTCGGACAAGCACCGTGTCAGAGGAGGCTCCAGAGAGCTCCGGTGAGGTCAGGGATAAGGTCTGGCTGTGGCAGACAGGCAAGCTGGAGGGTGTGTGACCCAAGCCAGGGGCAGTGTGGCTTGAAGAAGTTTATATACACAAGCACACACAGGAACACACGAAGGTAATAAGGCAAGGCCTCGTGCGGACCAGACAACTGCTACCAGTGTTCTTCCTCATTCCTTTGTCTTTATTAAGAAATGAAGTGATGTGGATGCTGTGGTGCACATCTGTACGCCAAGGTACTTGGGAAGCTGAGGCAGGAGGCTCACATGAGCCCAGGAGTTCACGACTAGCCTGGGCAACAGGAATGAGGCTTAGTTTCAAAAAGCAAAATAAAGAGCCAGGGATATAGCTCATCAGCATAAGTGCCTGCCTCGCACAAGGTCCTGAGTTTAATTCCTGGTACCCCCCCCCAACAAAAAAAGCAAAATAAAATTAAAAAAAAGAAATACTGTAACATGCAACAATAGGAACATGAAGTTCTATCATCTGCCCCCCATTCCTCCTAAGAGATACCAGTGTCATGGTGGGGCCCGTGTCCTTCCAATCTATCACATAACCATATGTACTGCTGTAACTGTGAATAACACGGAGCATGATTTTTGTATTTAAAATGTACACACACAGTTCATACTGCCATATGTCATTTTACTCCTTTTTTGGCTTGCTGTTTTAAATTTATTAACATTGACAAATCCTCTAAAAGCCTCCTACCAGGCTTGAGCCCTGTCACAGAGAGGAAGCTAAGAGCTGGAGGCCCCAAAGTGACTTACAGTAAGCTGATTTTCAGGTTGGCGATGCTGTTTGCAGTGGCAAAACCCACGTCATTCAGGGCTTCCCACTTCAGGATTAGATTGTGCCAATCAGCCGCGTTGTCCTTGATTTTTCTTGCACTGACAGACAAGACAGGCTTTCGGGGTGCCACAGCTCCAAGGGTCTTTGCTGATGGGCAGTAAGAGAAATAGGGTTGTTATGGAGTACCCATCAGAGCCGAGAGTAAATGCCCTTTCAATAGGAAGTGGGACATGTGGCATCTGCTGCAGACTAGGAGGCCTGAGCAGGGGAGATAGCTCAGGGAGAACCTGTCTAGCAAGCACAAGGTCCTGAGCACATCACTGGTAACAAAACAAAACAAAACACAGTGCAGATTAGGAGGCCTGGATGAAAGGGAAAGTTCCTGAAACTAGACAAAGACAAAGTTTTTTTTTTTTTTTTTTTTTTTTTTTTGCGGAACCAGGCGTTGAACTCAGGCCCTTGTACCTGCCAGGAAAGCACTTATTCCACTGAGCCATCTCCCGGCCCCTATTAAATTATTATTATTATTATTATTTTGAGGCAGGGTCTCAATACATAGCCCAGGCTGGCCTTGAACTCATGGTGATCCTCCTGCCTCACCAGATATAGACGGAGTCTTATCCAGCTCAGCGACTCCACAAGTTTTAAGCACTCTGACCACTTCCAAAGGCTAGAAATAAAGTGAAGCAGTAACTTTCTGCCAAAACTCCTCAGTTGCTTCCAGCCCCTTTCCTGTAGGACACTCCAGCCCTGACTTTTTGGCATCCCTGTTCCAGGGACTTTTTTTCTGTTTTTGATTTTTTGAGATAGGTCTCACTATGTAGTCCAGGCTAACCTCAAACTCCAGGTGATCCTCCTGCCTCAGCCTCCCGAGTACTGGAGTGAAAACTGAACCATTGTGCCCAGCTCCAGTCACAGCACTGAGGCCTCAAATGACACAGCTTTGCAACTCATATGCTCATTTCAAGACACAGAGAATGCAGAGTTGGTCTCGACCAGGCTGTAGCTGCCGGCCGGGACTCAGAAGCTCCTTCAGGGCCCGGCTACCCCTCCACCTCCAGTTCAGATGAACCTCTAGGCCTTGCAAGGTGTGGTGCGGGGCGGGGGTTGGACTCAGTACTTGGGAGGCTGAGGCAGGAGAATCACCCTGAGTTTGAGGCTAGCCTGGACTACATAGTGAGACCTATCTCAAAAAATCAAAAGCAGAAAAAGATACCTTGTACTTCTGTTACCATGACATTTACCAGTTTTGTGTTTGCTTGTTTTATGTTTCTGCCTGCTCCTGGACTGTAGGTTGCATTCGGGTAGGGACTGTCTGCCCTGATTTCTCTCATGCCCTCTGCACCTAACAGGTGCTCAATAAAACTTGTTAAAAGGCATAATTGTTCTAACTGCACTACAGTCCTGCAGGGGTTTCTCTTCCCCATAGGGGGCTCTGAGGGTGAGGATGATACCTCTTTGTCTACCTACAACTCAGCAACCATACAGGAACTAGAAGCAGCTCTCGATTCAAGAAGCTCCCAGAGCGGCAGGGAGAGAGGAGCGACTGAAGCCATCCCGGGCGGCACGGTGTTACTGCGTGGGATCGCTGAGCAGCTCAACGAGTCCGTTCACGTCAGGCGCTCAAGACACTGCTCCGCACAGGGCGACACTCGCTGAGAGGCAGTTTTCGTTAGCAGCAAGCTCTGCCGCGGGCCATGCTGACCGAGGGAATTCAGGGAAAGGGTTCTTCTGGAGGGCTGGACAAGCAAAGCTTGGCACCAACCGCTTCTACGCTAACTCATAACGACAACTACAATCCGACGCCTGGCATAGTGACGCACATCTGTAATCCCAGAACTCAGACAGGCGGAGACGGCAGGATGGAAAACTCGAACTTAGACTCATTTGGGGACTCCGCAAGTCCCAGTCTCAAACAGGAATTACAATTTGAGCGCCAGATACTGACATACTGCGTCCACCACACAGACTGGCTCCCGGGCCGACAGCAGTCTGCGCGGGCCAGCGCACTGGGCTCGGAAAGAGGCGCTGGCGTCGGACCGCGGG